AGTTCCTAGCTTTGCCTATACTACAACAGCATCTGGTTGGGGGCACAAAAAGCAAGCATTCAAAAGAATAATTCTTCCCCAAACTCCCTCTGAAAAATGTCGTGCTGCACTGCCCGTAAGATAGTATTATCCCTGACAGTACTATCTTATGGTGACATTAATTAGTTTACTGCAACCTAATAGCATTGTGCGTGTAGATGATGACCTTTTACTCAGCAGATAATTAGTCTGTTCCGCAGTTTAGCATGTATAGATGCAGCCATAGAGCTCAGTTCTGCTCCTGGTGACTTTAGTGTAAGGGAAAAGGCTATGCCACTACACTGGGGACACTTTCAACCATGTTCATTGCAAGTAGAAAGTAGGATAGTCAAAATAGTTTAATTGAAACTTAGTATGGCATAGCTCAACATGAAAAAGTTGCTTTTAGTCTGTGCACCTTAACAAAAAGAGGGGAGGAAGAACTTTTTTCAGGGAGGTCTGTTCTTATATTTAGATCACAAGCAATATTCAAGGATAGTTAGATTTTGGGTTCACAAGAGACCATTAGGGTTAGCCTGATTTCTTTTCTGAGGGGGCCTTAGGATTCCTCCCTTTTGATCAGTCATTGAGCCCAATATCTTGATTCTGATGACTGTTCTTGACTAAAGTTTATTTTCCAGGAAGAAATCCAGTCTCGATTTCTTCCTTTTATTTAATTTAATTATTTTATTGGCTTGCAAAATGCTGTTAACATCTAATCTAATAAGAAGTTATGAAGTAAAGTTAAAACAATAAATGTCTATTATTTAAAAGCCTCCACATTTTAAAAAATGTGGCAAAAACTTAAGAGGGCGCTTCCACTTTCTGTTTATGTTTTTTTTTAAGTTACTCTGTAATCTAAACAGCTGTTAATTATAGGGAAGAACATAATAGCAATTCTTCATGTTTTAGCTAATTTCTTCTCAGATGCAAGAAAGCATCGAGCATCAGCTTCTAGTCAGTGCAAAGCCTTGAAGAGGTGTGTAGCATATCCATACAACACTAAGAAAGAAAACAGAAAGAAAAACAGATGGTTTCACTGTAATATCACTCATATATCCATTAATTTAATTCTCCTATCAGCATACATATTACAAAGAAAAAAAATCATCTTGTAGAAAAAAGAAATATTATTTAATATCTGGAGTGTCTTATTACTCTTCAAAATTCAATCAGCTAATACTCAGAGATCCAGTTCTACTGAATATTTAGAAAAGTTAACATTTTTTTCCAATTCTTCCTCCAAATTATCCTCCAGGGAAGACACCAGAAAATATCTTTCTGGTTTAGAAAACAAGAACAAAAAGCCCTTTGCACCACATTTGACTTTCTTTTATAAATGTTGCTGATTGGTCTGCAAAGTAAATGTATAAAATAAGAACTATATATATCAATAATACTCTGCAATATAGCCCAGCTGTTAAAATTAAACTAGGAGGAATAATTGAGCTAATAAAATCTGTAAGTTCCTGCTTCAAAGGGGGAAATGGGCATTACCTTGAATGAGTTGGAAATTTAAAAATCTTTCTCTCCACTGAATAATATATTACACTATTATGATATATGCTCTGACCCTGCAAGTCCTTCTATTGTTCATAGAAAGTTGTACAAAGTTGTGCTGAAACCTTCATGAGTGAGTGGCAATTTATAATGTAGACTAAGACCTCAGTGCTTATTGGTAGTATATGTTAGGCCCACTTGTAAGTACACTTATTTTCAAGTGCACAGGGCACTGCACTTGCAAATGATAGAAGATAGAATATGTGCATAGAATGGGGGAGGGTATCTCAGACCTAAGGTGAGATCACTGTAATAAGTAGAAGAGTTAGCTATGCCTTTTCCATGAGACTTATCCCTTGTTTCTATTGAATGTAGCAATCATATTAATACAGTGATTTGCACTCATACGTTCTCTGTCTTTCAGTATCACATGCCACAATTCACAATGTAAACTCTTCATGATGAACCATAAAAGCTACCATACCACAGTTTGGTGTCTTCAGGTTGGGTCATGCATAATGAAAGTGTCAGGCCATACTTTCTGACCCAGGGAAAAAAACAATCCCTTAATATGTACGCTAAAATAATTCTAGTGTCATAAAAACCTGTTTATTTTGCAATGTTTGAATGCTGTCTGGCTATAATCAGCAAAGAATTTATGTATATGCTTAACTTATAGCAAGCTTGTTAGTCCCACTGACATTATGAGAACTATTCACATGCATAAAATTAAGCACATGCTTAAATGTCTTTCTGTACTGAGATCCAAATTTATAGCATCTTACAGGATGTAGCACCAACTGAAATAAAATGTAGTTGTTAGGCTCGTGTATCTGGCCAGGGCAATTTTAGTTAGAATCAATTGTTAAAGTAGCAGGTAACAAGTTTTGGAATCTGTCATCACAGGTTTTAGTATCCTATAGGCTAAAAATGAATGTTGCATTTGTCCCAATGGTCTGTTTTTGTCCCAGAATAGAAATGTCCCAAGACCGGTGGGTACACATATCACCCTTCTAATTAGGGGGCACCAACATGAGTGACATTTTGTCACGCGATCAGCCACTTAAAAGTGCTCTGCAGCCTTGCCCTTACAAAAATACATGACTGCAGAGCTTTTTTAAAGGGATCAATCCCATGATTAGTCCTTTTCCAAAGCAGAGCACCCTCAAAACTCCATTTTCAGAATGGGAGGCAGTGAAGGGAGTGGAAGGAGCTAATTCTGGGGGTTGCCCTGCCAGCACTGAAAGATGGAGCAGGGGCACTGCAATCCCCCAGAGGTAAGGGGGCTCCAGTCCACCCGAGCAACCTTTAGTGCTGGCTGGGCAACCCCCCAGAACGAGCTCCCTCCACTCCCTTCCCACATTCAGAAGACAGTGCCAGGGCTGGGAAGGAGGAGAGACAGGGCAAGGTGAGAGTGACTACAGACTGACAGTCGCTCTAAACTGCACCTTGATTCCCCAACCCCCTGGGACCCAACAGTGAATGTCTGTTGGATATGTAACTCATGGAGCTTACTGCAAAGTACCATGAGATACAGGAGGAAGCTGCACTTCTGTCTGCGCCCAGGGCTGAATGAGTGGATCAATGCACTGCTGCTTTTCTGCCATTGATTCAGTACAGCAATTCTGGGGATAACTGTTCAGATACACTTTGTGCTGTCTTGGGATAAACTGTTAGTACTCCTTATCCTGTAAAGCTTTTCTTGGAGAAAACAGACATGGACTTCTGAATTATTGCACTTTCTCCTGGGATAAAATGAGTTACCTCAGGACAAAAGTGATGTCTGTTTGTAACCATAGTGAATAATAGTGAAATTATTGCATTCAGTGGAGAGAACAGAATTGGGAAAACACAAAAGTATGAATGAGAAGGACTTCTGGTTTGTAAAAATGCTCATAATTGATTAAACGGGCACATATATATTTTTCTCTTTTTAATACCATCAGGCAGAGAAGCAAAAGCATATGTGTATACAGTTCATGAAGCTACTCCTCATCACTACAATGCCATTACAGTTCTATGCCAATAGGACATAGAACCTGTTTTGATGAAAAAATAAAATAAAAAAAAAGGATATTAGGTAGATTACTGAACTGAAATTTTGAAATGTTATTAAAGTTTAGAAGCTTTGCTATAATTTAGATGATAATGACATTTTACATTTTAGTGTTTTAGGAAGAAAACCTATGTTTTATGTAACACTGGCTGTTTGGTTTTGTTTTCGTTCTCATTTTTCCCTTTAGAGTAGAGAAAGTGTGCATAGTTAATGCTGTGTTTTTCCAGCGGCTATAAGTAAAGGTCTCATTAAACTATTCAATCATCTGTCCCTTTGATATTCCTGTATCTATAGTTTTATAACACATTGACATTATTGCACATAAAGATTTATGAGACGAGCTGACATGACTTAAACACAGATTCTTTTCATATTTAAAATGAACCCTGAAAGAAGCAGAGAAGAGATAACAATGCCTGTTAGAAATAAGAATAGTATAAAGGCAAGTTTCTGCTGCTGTTGTGGTTTCACTTAATAAGCTCTGAACAAATATGTAGATTTAAGTTTGCTAGGTTGGAGATACTTAGAGCCAGATCCTAACATTAAGGTCATGTGTAGACAAAGTGGGGGTCCTAAATTGAAGCAGTGGGTTTTAAAAAACACCGCTTCAATTTAGGGCTGATTAAACCCCCGGTCATGCACGCACACCGCTGACTTACCTGCTTCTCTGGCGGGGACGGGAGGACGAGCTGCCACTGGGCAGAGTGGTCCCTCAGCTGCAGGGGTGGGGTGTGGTGATGCCCTCTGTGGCAGCTGTGCCCTCACCCCCAGTGGCACGCTCCCAGAGGCACCTGGCTTGGGTGGTCCTAGGGGGCACTGCAGCCTTGGAGGGAAGCACCAGGCCACTACACAGCTCAGGCAGGCAGGCAGACTCAGCCAGGGAGTGGGTGGGGAGTGAGAGGGGAGGGGAAAGATCAGGCTCACTGCTTTTCTTGGGCACAGCTGCTTTTCCGGGCTGCTGCCAGGCTGCCTGCAGGGCTTCCTGCAGAGCCACGGAGCTGCACAGAAACTGGTGCTTCATTCTGCAACCATAGGGTCAGCAAACTAAACTCCTCAAAGGAATTTTACTTTGCTGCACCCCAAATCATTCAAGGTGCATTATGCCACTGAATTTCCTACAGTGGCTGGAATTAATGCTCAATACGCTGCCGAGGTGTGAAAACACTGAAATTATTAAAGTGGTTCAAAAGCATTTAGCCAGCTTTAAAGTGTCGTGCACACATGCCTATCATTTTGTCTACACACGGCCTAAGTGAATAAATATATTTTTGTAGTTGACCACAAGCTTATAAGGAGTTGAACAAACCAAAGTTTCAATGAAGCAGGCATCGTTGTCCATCTCAGTGGGTTTTACCTGACTGAAAACTAGTGCTTTTGCTCCTCCTTCTGGTACCATGCAGAACTAAGCTGAATTTGGATACTTCAGGTACTTCTGTGGTGCAAGTCACAGCCACTGATGCCGATGACCCTTCGTATGGAAACAGTGCCAGAGTCATCTACAGCATACTTCAAGGACAGCCATATTTTTCGGTGGAGCCAGAAACAGGTTAGGAAAATAGATATTGCTTTTATTCAACCTTGGGGGGTGGGTCCCTCCTATTCTGGAAAAATCCAAGAATGCAGAGCAAATTTATTTACAAAAAATACAAGCACTGAAAAACTGCAAGGTTTCTTATTTGCTGAAAATTAATAGCTTAAAAATACTTGTAACAAAGTAAAACACATGTATCTTTTATATTTTTGGTATAAATATTCATTTTTATAACTTTACATAAAATATATAAACTGTATTGATGAATATTTATGAAGATACAAAGATCACTGTTCTAGTAAATGCATATGGCAGAAATATATTTTACAGATCCATAGAAAAGTATGCATTGCATGGTACATGTCAAAAATGCAAAAATGGATAACACACACTTTCCTGTTTTCTTAAAGGCATTATCAGGACTGCTTTGCCAAACATGAACAGAGAAAACAGGGAGCAGTACCAAGTAGTTATCCAGGCAAAAGACATGGGAGGCCAGATGGGTGGATTATCAGGGACCACCACAGTGAACATCACATTGACTGATGTCAACGACAATCCACCTCGATTCCCCCAGAGTAAGTAATAGTCCTAAACTATAAGAACTGCAGAATAACAGAGTTAAGCAATCATCATCTGGTTTAATTTAAAGTAAATCTATATTATGGAGCATGCATGAACAAAAGGTTTATGTACTGAGCTATTCGCTGTTATTAGGGTAGAAAATTAAATGTTATAGAACTCCTTTTTTCTGGAAATCAGTTACATAGTCCAATACAGCAACAGAAAACCTGGACTACCTTTCAGGATTATTTGTGGGGAGTGAGGCATGGTCATAACAGCATTAGAGTAATTCTTTTTTTCCCATTACCTATAGCTTAAATTGTTTTCTAACTGGAAAATAAAACATAGTAATTATACTACTGTAAAAATACATATACTGTACTCCTGCTTAAACACTTAATCATAAAGACCGCAACTTGGTATGCACATTCCTTGAAGGAAATTCCATCTGTACTTGTATAGATAAGACACCATAAAGGCTGAGATGCAAACAGATTCCCAACATGAATGTAAATGAAATTTAACTTCATTGTTTTGGCAGCTTAAGCTTATCAAAGGACTTTATATTGCTTTTTAACCTTTTCTGATATGACTTCCAAGTCATAGCTTCATGCTAGAATATGAAATCATTATTAGCCTTTGTTTTTGTAATGGGAAATGTTGATATTCTTCCTTCTTCAAATTTGTTAGAGGTTAGTGCAGACTGAATCCTTATTCCATTAATGTTCTTTGTGGTAGGAGAGCTTGCATAGATAAATGTGATGTTATAGAGATGTATAGTACTTTTCTCATAGAATCTAATGTGAAAAAGAGAAAGGATGGAATGTATAAGGTGACTACATGTACATTTTCTTTGTTAACATCATAGGTACACACACACACACACACATATATATATAGGACTTTGTCTATTGGAGGGAAGAATGAGCCCTGCTGCTCTCAGCATTCTTGTGAACTACTGCAGGGAGCCATTTATGGGGCTATCTATACATAATGCACCAGTAGAAACTCTCACAGGCTGGCTTGAGCTGTTGCATTTAGGGTAGTGTATAGCAGCAATTACAGACTAGGTGCTTCTATGCTTCTGTTTAAATTTCCTTCAGAAGGAATCACACTATTGGTTCTGGGTGTCTGCATGGATTTTATAGAACTGTTACTATTGGATTCTTCACACAGTATTTATCTGACTGTTTAGTTTAATAATAATTTTATTGGCTTGAAGCTTGACCTATGTCCCAGAAGGCAAACTAGGCATTTTTCACATAGAACTGGATAAAGCCCTTGATCTCTAGCAATTTTCTACTGCATGACTCTGTTATTGGAAATTTGGCAATGGCTTTTTTTTGCCTTTCTCTTCTTCCCAATTACCTCCATATTTTGTGACACAGAAGTAAAACCAACCTGACATATCTTGTTGAAAACTTGCCACATTCTTGAAACTGCTGAAATGCCATTGATTTTTTAAAAAAATCATTAAATGTAATTTCAACTTTGCTAATAGTCATTAAAACAATCCCTGTCTTTATTACATGTTTCTGAGATTAATAAAATTGACAGAACCTAAGTAAAAAAAAATTAGCATTCTGAAGTTTGTCATATTAGTGAAACATACAGACTTTTATCAGGTTTGAGAGATGGATATAGTTGTCAGATTTAGAAATGTATTAGATAAACATTTATTTTCTGAAACAAGTGGAGATAATTCTGATACAAACTGTGTAGTGTTTGCTGCAGATATTTCAGGGAGCTGACTGCCATTAATAACAACTATCCTCAATTGCAGGCAAAGAATATTGGCTGCATCAATCCTTTGTGTTCACCCAGTCCTAGACTATGCAAGAGTTGGCCCAAACCCAACTTTTCTATTGCTGTTATTGTCATAAAGTGGAATAGCATTAGGAGCAGCTTGCATTAATATTGCTTGAGAGCCACAAAATACTAGATATGGCAAGTGTAAATTACCAATGTAGAGAAATGCCCACACCATAGCTATGGCCCTTCCTCAGATGTATGAAATGACAACAGAAAAAACTGCTTTAGGTTCCATGCCCCTGAGGATCATGATGTTCAGGGCAGATTCTTCAATGGCCAGCTAATGTGCTAGTGGGATCCTTTTGTGCCTATAGAATAGCATAGGTAACTCCATCATAGCCAAAAAAATGAAGACAACACAGAACAGTGCATTATGTCAAGCCTATTATGATTTGGGAATGGGTGCCTCTGGGCATGTCTACACCTGATGCTACATCACCATAGCAATGCTCTACGTAGCATCTGCAGGCAAAAACCAAGAAGCTGCAGCTACGTTGCTGTAGTGACACGCTCCCTCATTATAGTGTGTTGCTACAGCGATGTAGTGCCTAAAAATAACCATGTATGGAGTGCACAATGCAGTATGGGTCATTACTGTGCTGTCTTTAGTACTTCCAAAAGAAAGTATTAAATGACAGAGCAGTAACAATGGTGCCATAGTGTCATGTGCCCCCTGTGACAGTAAAGAGAATTAATTTATTCTAGATTAGTTACATATAGAAGACATATTGGTTAGAGAACTATGAAAAATTAAACGGATAATTTGGTTTTTAAAAATAAATTATTTTGATAATTTATTTAAATCTTCCATGACTTGCTCGTATTTGATGCTGGTCCATTACAGTTAATTAGGCCAACCCGCCCCCCACCCCCCCCCCATCCCGCCCCCCCCCCCCGCCAAATCTCTAATAAACTGATCAAATAAACTTGAAACATATTTGGTAGAGAACTGCTTTCAGAGGTATAGAAAATTCTACAGTTAGAACTTCAGCTTGTTTGGTTCAGTTGTGATTTGGACATGACTGATGATGATACCATACAAAATTGCAATTCCAGCAACACGTTCTGCAAAAGCAGCCTTTCGTAGAACTTTTAGAGAAACATAAACATTTTACAGATCCCTGGTCATTTTTCATGAGAGCTCAAGCACAGTTTCTCAAATGCTCCTCAGATGATTGGAAATATTTGTTTTGTACTTTTGCTGTCCTTAATTCTGATTACATTGAATTTATAAGTGTCACTAAGCAATTCCACCTCTGGTCCCAGTATGATATTTATTTTCAAGAATATCCCATGCAAATTCAGTAATTTTAGCTGGATCTATGTATCCACAACTGAATTTAGAAATCAATGAGACTTGTAACTTTTAATGGGATTTTTAATCCTAATCCCCTTAGGCTAAGTACAGAAGTCCAAAAAGCCCTTGGCAAAAGTGCTCTAACTTTTTGCATTTTACTTATACTCAAAGCAATATAAGTTAGAGAGGGAGCCAACTGAATAGACATTCACTGTTTGATGGGGATGGGGTCTCAGAGTCTGCCCACACTGACCGCTGGGGGTGCTCCCACATGCCTCCCAGGAGGCTTCCAGAGCAAACCCACTCCCCAGACCTGCTCCCTTGTCAGTTGGTGACTGTCAGCAGTGGTTGGGGAGAAATGAATTGGTGAAACATAGACTCCTGCCGTGAGCCCCCCCTACAACTTGATTACTGAGGTCTTGGCGGGACAGCCTGGGTCCATGTGGTGGCACTATTGCAGTGACACAGTTCCCAGAGCCCTTCCCCCACAGCCCATTCAGCCAAGCAGCAGTATACCGCAGCTGGGATGGGGCAATTGCCAGGAGAGAGACCCTGGACTTCTCTTGCAGCACCACCCCCTTATCCCAGCTGGGCTGTGCCATGCCATGGAACCAGGCAACTGCAGAGAGAGAAACTCTACTTCTCACATTTCCCCCATACCACGCTATGCATGGGGCTGGGATCAGAGGCTGTCATTGACGCACCAGAAGGCGGGGCTGGCTCAGCACTTGGGTAGGGCAAACGAGCTAAATTAACCCTTAATTGGATATGTCACAGATGTTCAACAAAGCACTATAACAGAAAGCACTTTAGATTAGTACACATCCATCCAGGGTTAATTTAGAGCAGGATCCACCATTTTTTAAAGCACTTTGTGCATGCTTAAAGTGCATTAAGTGTAACCTCTGTACCTAGCCTTAGACACTTAAGAGAACTACCCCCCTTCTTCTACAAAAGTAGCCATTATTTTTTCCTCATGGAATGTCCAAAAGCAGATAACTGATACCTCGAAATTGTTCAAAATTATTCAAGGTACTTTTGGCTTACAAAATCCTAAGTGTCCTAAGAGCCTGGGTCCAGATGAGCATGTCTGCCTTGCCACACACACATAGATGTTCTCCACGCAGCAAGGGAGTGCTTCCTGTGCATGTGCTGCTCCACTTGTTTTTCTGGAAAAAAAAAAACCAGGAGTGTACTCACAGGCAGTTAAAAAGGAGGCAACTATTGGTAGGTATAAAAAACTGAATATGTTTGGAAAGCCAGTGAAACTTATGCACCTTTCCCCCCATATCTTAAAACTCAAGATGTTTTTGGCTGAGTGTAGATACATCAAACAGTATTTGGATAATGTTCAAGAAGCAAGAGCTTATCATTTTATGGTGAAAAACAAGTCCAGACAACTGTCTGTGGCAAGGATACAAATATAGTTTAGTGTATAATCTATTTTGAGTACAATTATTAGTAGTATATTGTAAACTTTACATTTTTCTTTATATACATGCTACAACAGGATCTCTACAAATACATATGTCATTATAGTGATTTGGGGAAGAGGGTTCAAAAGAATCTGTAGCTTATGAGTCCAAGATCCATTTTCAAAAAAGATGAACTCATGGGTCTTTTGAAACTGGGGCTTTGGCTTCTAAATCACTTCAGTACTTGTGAAAAGTTTACCACTGGAGTACATAACCATGAAGGAATGCAAGGGAAAGTAAGGCAATTCCTTAATTTCCCTGGGCTGGCTAACTGTGCCTGGGTCTGGAAATGCAGGAGTAAGCAGACTTGACTTGTCTGGTATCTACCTTTCTCCAGAGTAGATGGACTGGGGAGAAGAGTACCTCATCTCTTCCCTTCTGATGTTACCATACTCCAAATAAATTGGACGTCACAGCTGCAAAGAACCTATATAAGCTAAGACCGTGATTCTCAAGCAGGGTGCCACAGCCCCTAGCTTGTCTTGAGATCCTTTCAAGGGTGTTGCAGGGTGACATACAATTTTAGCACTGTGTAGGGTATAAACATGAATACAAGATACATTCTGAAATTTCAAACAGAAACCCGGTGTCAAAAATATTCTGACATGTTGTGATGTTTCTGAGTTCTTTGCAACAGAAGAATTGTGCTATTATTTTTCTGTAGTAAAAAATTGAGTGAAAACTAAGAGCTGACATTTTCTAAGGGCTATTTTAAGTCCAAAAGTTTGAGAACAAGTAGTCTAAGGAAACATTTGAAATGGTTAAACTAAATATAATTAGACCATATAAAGTTTCACTGTAAAAAATTTCAATAGTCTGTCTTAAACATGGACATATATGAAAAATGAGAATGAATGTTGCTATGGTACCCTTAAATCTTCCCTTTCATGTGTACTGTCTCGTGAAATATTTTAGGACATATGGTCTTTCATCATCGTCTCACACACCACTGAGTAAATATTTATTTTGTGAATGTGAGCAGAAACTATTTTCCCTCCATTTTTCAACCATTAACAGATTATGGAGAGATTATGTACTAATGTAGCAAAGCATAAAGATTTAACGTTACAGAAAGGTAATGAAATGTCAGTTTTAATATGAGCTAAATCATTCAACTGAAAACACCAAAGTGAAGTAGTGTCAAGAAAACCTCATACTGATAAGGTAAACTTAAGTGTACTTTGGTAGCATAATACTGAGTTTACCACAGTAGATGTGGTAATGGTACATGCCCCCTAGCCCCAGAAAAAGAGAATTGTAAGCTAATTTAGGATTCTGTCTTCCCTTAACATTTGATAGACTTTCACAATCCAGATATAATCTAAACCTAATGTGTACTTTTATGAATGGCATTGGGGAAATAAGGTATAATAACTAGAATCGAGAAACTGCTTCTTAAAAATAAGAATGAACATGCAACTCAGTCTTAATTTCAAAACGATTGAGAGGCTTTCCTTAATATGGATCTCCTCAACATGAGTCCTTCTCTTCCTCTGCAAGCCAATAGTGTGACAGTGCTTCTACTATTTTGTTAGGAAACAGGAACAACCAACAAATGATCTGACTGGGTCTTCCTGTAGATTTCCTGGAAAGTTGTTAGTGGCTTCCCTAGTGGCTGCATATACACATTCAGTAATCTGAAAGAATTCTCCCAGGTTTGGTCACCTGGTAGAAAAACTTACCCAGAGCTGCATGTACAGACATTCAAGTACTGAGGCCCTGAAGAGTGGAGAGCTTGTACCAAGTAGGGAGCCCTGTGCACGTACCTGTGCATGCTCTGAAGGCTCCTTTAGTTCACCTGGTGACAGATGGCATCAGTGCACAGGGCATCACTATTTGGATGACCCAGATGGCTCATGATGAGCCTGTGTTTCCCTGCAACACAGTGTGGGGATTGTGAAGGGGGCATGTCCTGCTCCCTGCTAGAGCCATAAAGTCCAGGAAGCAACACATTGGGTGTGTCTATACAAGATGCTTACTGTGCAGTAGCCTAATAACACTGAAAAGTAGTGTGCTGTTAAAAAACTGTGATAATATGCTACTGCTCAGAGTTATTAAACTACTGCACAGTAAGCATCACAAAAAATCATGTGCCAGTGCTACAGCACAGTAACTAGTTCTTCATTAAGTAAACACTAAACTAAATGTGCAGTAACTACTGCACCATAATGAACATGTAGATGCACCCACTGTCTCCTTGAGGCAGAGGGCAGTGTGGTGCTGAAGAATTATTTTATCTCTGAGAGAAACCAGAGCATGTACATACATCTTCTTTCCCAAGTCCTGGGAGTGATTTAACCTCAGTTGTTCTGGGGTTATTTTTCTTATGGAGTAGCCATTTTTACTCTGGAAGAAAAAGTCTGAACATCTGTACACTTGTGGTTTCTCCTGAGAGAGCAGTGGCTCTCCCAGGAGACATGTACGAATCATTCACCTTTCAAGAGCTCAGTATTTAAAACACAGAAGGCTTTTGTAAACTGATTATAGGAATTTTAAAATAGGCCAATTATGTGTTTCAAAATGAAATGTCATGTTGTAATGATTCAATTTTTCCCATTCAGGTTTTTTATTAATAATGTCCTGTCTAAGCTTAAACAAGAAGCAAGTGGCAGAGAATAAGAATGTGCTCTCCTGGGTCCTAGTACTGTAATTTAAGCTTTACCTTCCTATAATTTTATGCCTCATTCACTGTCATCCTCTATATTAAAGGAAATGGGAGTCCTATAGAGAGATAATTAAACACAGTATAACAAAGCACTAGTTATATGTATGTACAATAAATATTCTTGTACATCTATTGACTTGTTCTGTTTCTTCTCCACAGACACTGTACATCTCCGCGTTCCCGAATCTTCCCCAGTTGGCACTGCCATAGGCAGTGTAAAAGCCACTGATGCAGACACTGGGAAAAATGCTGAAGTGGAATACAGAATTATTGATGGTGATGGGACTGATATGTTTGATATCATGACACAGAAGGACACGCAGGAAGGCATCATAACTTTGCGAAAGGTGTGTGTCATCACTAATAATCAATTAATGGTTTAGTTGTTAATCGTAAAAGTTTCTATACAGCTATAACTGAGAGATTGTCTTGTTCTTCTGCGTTTAGGACAGGATAAATCTTTTCTGGAGTATCACTAAGAGGATGATAGAGTTTTTAAAATTTTATTTCCACTGAAATATAGATGGACAAATATGTTGCCGCAAATTCTCTCCATGGTTTCTAATACAGATTTGTTTAACAGTCTACTAAAATGTTGGTTAAGTGCTAGAAATTGTTTAGAAGAAGATTACAGTTTTATACTATAGATAAAAATATAGCATCTAAAATAGTAATGTATAGTAATTCTTCAGTATTAACAGAGAATTTAGTACCATAGAGCAAAAAGCATCATGATCAGTAGCTGCCAGCTATGACTTAGTACCATGCAACATTCATAGATAGATAGAAGCAACTTAGGACCTAATTTTTTCTAAAAAAGGCTGAAGCAATTGTCTACCTAACTGTAGGAAGAGTGCTATGAATTTTGCAGTTTTTGTTCTGTGTTTTCTTGGGGAAAATGGTCAGACCTTCCTCGTTCAGTCTAGTTTTATAATCATATTGTCCAAACTTCCCAGTCTGTCTCACTGAACACGTTTTCCTCTGAGACACCAGAAACATTATGAATCTCGTACTTGGGAACCCAAAGTGGTTTCAGAGCACATAGAGTCATAATTGAATTACAACTATTTTATTTTAGTGAAACTGGGACTTTTTTTCCCTTTTACAAAAAAATAAGGTATAAGATAGGATATCATAGTGCAATTACACATCTTGTATTAAAAGATTATGAAACACTCTTCAATGTGCTTATTTTGTATTGGGAATAGATATAGCTTGTTTTAAAATAGATTATATGACAGAAGAGTAAATTTTTCCACTTGTTTAGGAAGTGCTTATGACCCCATTCTATTTTCTCTAAATATATCTGAATTACATAAGTATTCAGTGGGCACATCTACACAAGACGGTAACTGTGCAGTAGTCAAATAATACCACACAGTAGCGCATCACAGCACAGCTACTGCACAGTATTATAAGCCTACTGCACAGTAGCATCAGTGAAAAGGCTTTGCCAGTGCTACGGTACAGGAACTCTGGTTACTGCACAATTATTTAGTATTTGATTATACAAGTACTAAATAAATGTGTAGTAACCACTGTGCAGTAGCGTTTTGTGTATAAGTGCCCAGTGAAGAGTTAATAGAAACAAATTGAAACCTGCAGATTGCTTGTGAACAGTTGAATTTTCATTGGTTGTTAGTGTGAGAGTTTATTTCTGTTCTTTGACTCGACAACTGGAACTTTGTAAGCAGAAGAGTACAGTATGATGAAAACTATAATGGTTATCAGACAAAGTACCCTTTTTTGGTATTTCATTGTACCACTTAAGGTGCAGTGGCCTCATATCCCTACTGATCTCACCATGGAATTTTTCGATTTTCCCACTGCTAGACCAGGCCTAAGGCTCTTATCAATTATTGCTACACTGCAGATTCAGTTGAAATCAAGAACCTGCAATTCTATACTTTGAGAGTTTGACTGGTAGCGAGAATGTTCTTAACACCAAAGCTTTGTCTAGTTCAGTAATCAGAAGAAAGAATTATGGAGGAGGGAAAAGAGGACTTTAAAAAAACATTCTGCAAATACCTGTTTTAGCTCGTCTTTTCAACTCCTGGTTGGTAAATTAGCTAGTAATAATTTCTTCTCTCTTGCAGACGGCACATCATTATATATAACACAACACATATTTTTTTTCAGTTAAAGAGAAACTTCACTAATATGCTTTACTAACATGCTAAGGGCTTAGTGCTACATTAGTCAGTTTAAGATGAAAGCAAAATCAAATATAATTTTATTGGAATATGCACTAATTTGCTAGGTTATATATTAAGTTTGAAAAATATGAACTAGACAATAATAGTCAAAATGTATTGTTTCCTGAGTCTTGTCATCATTGTAGTTAAATGTATATCTCTTACTCAGGTTCACAAAACATTCTAATTTTTTTGAGCACCTTGACAGTTCCTTTAATACTTCAGTGTCAGTCATTTATACATCTGAGGTAGTATTACTGCACATGAGTTAAGTTTAACATAGCATTAACCTAGAGATAAAATCAGTCTGGAGGGCTGTGAAAAAGGAGGAGCACATTACTAGGGATAGCTAACAGACAGCAAAATTGCCAAAGAAAGGAGAACTTGGATAGCAGTACATCAAGACCATTAAAAAGGAGAGAGGGTCATTAACACTTTTGAAGTGATGAGAGATTAGCAGGCACCAGGTAAATTATAATGAATCATAAAGTCAATTGACTCTCTCAGTACTGCCTGAATAGACATACTACTGCCCCTCATAGACAGTATTAAAGTTTGAGTGGAGCAGGAATCAAAAGGGGTGCAACTACACCACTGCACCCTCCTCCCGCCCAACACTTCTATATCATCTCGTGCCCCCAATTCTTCTTTT